AATGCTAGTTATTAGTATTATTATGATATATATTTTAAGTTAGAAATCAAGGTGCAGAAATGTGTGTATCAGATGCTACCTTTTGTGTAAGAAGGGGGGAATAAGAATATCTTCATTTTTGATTGTTTTTGAATAAATACATCTTAGAAGGACACACAAATTAATAAAAGTGGCTATGGGATGGGGTGGGATGAGGGCAGAGTGAGACATTTCACTGTATGCCTTTTTAGATTGCTGTTATGTTTGAGCCTTGTGAATGTGTGAATGTATGAATGTATTCCCTCTTTTTGAAATTAAAAAACAGAATACTAATAAGCGTGGGCAATTCTATAAGGTATAGGAATAGGAATAATATTGTAGGTATAGGAATTCATATTACAGGAATACTCATATAGGAAATAATATTATAAGTATAGGAATAAAGGGAGGAGAATGAGAAACCGTTGTCATTTTCTCACTTTGGACCCAAGGGAGACAGGCTGTGTCTCATGTCGGATCCCCTTCCATGGAGACAGGGCTCCAAGCCTGGAAGGGCATACCTCAGGCAGCCTGGCTGGATAGAGAGCAAGACCTTTTGGGTGCCCGTAGCCTCTGCTGGGTCCTATTTCTAAGCTTCTTCTGTCCTGAATGGGGTCTCTCTAGGGAGACTGGCCCCTGCTCCCTCTCGAGATGGAAATGGTTAAATGGGCAGCAGGTGTCTATGAGGCGGCCAGCCTGAATCAGACACCTGGGTCTGAAAGCCCCCAGCCTGCTGGTTAAGACTGAGGTGCAGACCCTGAATCAAAGGGCTGCTACCCAGGGCCAGGAATGACCTTCTTAGCCAAGAGGTTCCTTTACCTTTATTCAGAGGACACTCACTGAGCACCTTCTGTGTGCTCAGCACTTTGGAAAAGGCAGAGGTGAAGTGGGCACCTCCCTGGAAGGGCTTCATGATAAGAACCCAGACTTAACTGTATCTTCAGAAAGGCAAAATAACTATTTGCTTCTGCAACACTCAAAAGAATGAGCAAAAACACCACTGACTTAGTAAGAAACTGCTCAGCAAAGTGGCTAGATTACATAATAATTAAGAAAGGAAAAGAAAGCATAATTATATCTTAGCAGAGCAAATGAAAAGAAATATGGAAAAAATTCCATGGTCCCATTCACAGCAGCAATTTAAACAATTCTACAAAGCCATGGTTGTGTGCCTATAATCCCAGCTACTAGGGAGGCTGAGGTGAGAGGATTGCTTAAACCCAGGAGTTCAAGGCCAGCCTGGGCAACACAGCAAGACCCCCATCTCTAAACAACTTTTTTTTTAATTTAAAAAAAAAAGGTACAAAATACCTAGACATGATCCTAAAAAGAAATATGTAGAAGTGATAAGAAAAAAATGACAAAAACCTAGTAAGTGATAAAGTGTAAAAAATGGAAGACTGTGCGGGGCACGGTGGCTCAAGCCTGTAATCCCAGCACTTTGGGAGGCCGAGGCGGGTGGATCACGAGGTCAAGAGATCGAGACCATCCTGGTCAACATAGTGAAACCCCGTCTCTACTAAAAATACAAAAAGTTAGCTGGGCATAGTGGCGCGTGCCTGTAATCCCAGCTACTCAGGAGGCCGAGACAGGAGAATTGCCTGAGCCCAGGAGGCGGAGGTTGCAGTGAGCCGAGATCGCGCCATTGCACTCCAGCCTGGGTAACAAGAGCAAAACTCCGTCTCAAAAAAAAAAAAAAAATTGGAAGACTGTATGGAGGTCCCAAAAAGAGAGACTAAATATTGTAAGATTATTAATTCTCCTCAAGTTAATAAAAAGCTTTAAGGCAATTTAAATTATTTTTGAAACGTAACCAAAGGATTTTAAATTTCTTTCTTACTTTTTGAGACCAAGTCTCACTCTGTTGCCCAGGCTGGAGTGCAGTGGCGCCATCTTGGCTCACTGCAACCTCTGCCTCCTGGGTTCAAGGGATTCTTGTGCCTCAGCCTCCCAAGTAGCTGGGACTACAGGTGTGAGCCACCATGCCTAGCTAATTTCTTTTGCATTTTTAGTAGAGATGAGGTTTAACCATGTTGGCTAGGCTGGCCTTGAACTCCTGACCTCAGGTGATCTTCCCGGCTCGGCTTCCCAAGTGCTGGGATTACAGGCGTGAGCCACTACATCCAGCTAGGATTCTAAATTTTATATGAAGGAACAAATAGATAAAATAGCTAAGAAAAAAATTTTTTTTAAATTAAATGGAGACAGAGTCTCACCATTTTGCCCAGGCTAGTCTCAAACTCCTGAACTTAAGTGATCCTTCCACCTTGGGCCCCCAAAGTGCTGGGATTTCAGTCCTAAGCCACTATCACCAGCAGGAAAGGATAAAACATTATAGAAATGGCATTAATAAGAGGGTATGGTTCTAGTTCAAGAGTCGAGAAGGATCAGTAGAACAGACCAGATAGACCTGAGGTAGTCCCTGGCATCTGCAGAAATGTAATGTTTTATATAACAAAAAAAGCAACCCAAACGGATGGACATGAAAGGGGTTTTCAACAACTGGAATCAGAGAAATTGGCTAGGGGGGAGGGCAGGGGACAGGAATCGAGTTGGCACCTTGCTTCTGGTCTCAGACCAGATACGCTTCCAATGGATCACAGAGTTCAATGTGAAAAATTACATCACGACGTTTCTGAAAACACAGTTGACTGTTTACTCTCACCATAGTAAAGACATTATAATTACTGAAGAAATGAAAGAAACCATACAATCAAGAGATGCCACTGCCAAAAACATTCAAAACTATGTATTTTTTGGAAAGATATTCATGACTTACTATTTATAAGAAAAGCAAATTAAACAACACTAAGTGTTCATTTTGTTTTAAATGATCAAAGAGATAGCAAAAATGAAAGGAAAAGGTCTAGCGTGAGAGGAGTTACCTCTTTCTCTCATCTCTCCTTTTCACCTATTCAGATTTTCCAGAAGTTTCTATAATCAACTCTAAGTAAAGGAGTTTGGACATCAAATAAGAAGCAATGAGAAACACTCAAGAAACATCCCATCTAGGTATTACAACAAAGCCCTTTCTCTTCTCTGGGATGTACTGTTTCACTTACCCCTTATGACTCTTCAGTGAAATAACCACACTGTTAATTTTTTAAAAATATATTTTATTGCACTTTAGGTTCTGGGGCACACGTGCAGAACATGCGGGATTGTTGCATAGGTCCACACACGGCAATGTCGTTTGCTGCCTCCATCCCCGTCACCTGTATCTGGCATTTCTCCCCATGTTATCCCTCCCCCATTTTTTTTTCCCCAGAGACAGGGTCTTGCTATGTTGCCCAGGCTGGACTCGAATTCCTGGGTTCATGCGATCCTCTCACCTCAGCCTCCTGAGCAGTGTATTTTAATAGAAGCCTCAACATGCTTCCTGGGTTCTCCATCTCCCCATCCTAAAGCTGTCCATGTCTAAACTGCCATGCCAAAAGTGGTATGTGTTAGCTCTTCCAATTTCTAGCTACAAGGCCTTGAGCAAATTACCTTTTCTCTCTGAGTCTTAATCCCCCTACCTGTAGAATGGGAGTAATAATGCTTCCCTCATAGACTGTTACAAGCACAAAGACAGGCTGGTGTATATGAAGGGCTCAGCACAGTGTTCTGCTGGATCATGTCACTCATCCAGCAGGTGGCAGGTACACTGCCACGTGGGTTCCCTGTTTCTCCTGCCATCTTTACGGTGGGGAATGGCACCAACCATTCAGTGGCCACTCCCGGATGCCTCCCTGTCCTCTATGGCTTCAACAATATTTTTAAATTAAGTCTTCTTGATCCTATTTTCATTTACTTAAAAAACATACTGAATACCGGCTGGGCATGGTGGCTCACACCTGTAATCCCGGCACTTTGGGAGGCTGAGGCAGGTGGCTCACCTGAAGTCAGGAATTCATGACCAGCCTGGCCAACATGGGGAAACCCCATCTCTACTAAAAATGCAAAAATTAGCTGGATTCAGTGGTGGGTGCCTATAATCCCAGCTACTCGGGAGGCTGAAATAAGAGAATCACTTGAACCCAGGAGGAGGAGGTTGCAGTGAGCCAAGATCATGCCACTGCACTCCCACCTGGGAGACAGAGCAAGACTCTATCTTGGAAAAAAAACCAACCAACCAAACAAACAAACAAAAAACCTTACTGAGTACCAACTAGGTCCTTACTGAATACCAACTAGGTCCTTACTGAGTACCAACTCGGTCTAGGCATAGGGCCGAGGATGTAAAGATGATTAAGGCAGAATCCTGGCTCCTAGAGCTGCCCTAGCAGTTCCCACTGCTACTGCCTGTGTTCTTGCCTCAGTTATTGCTTATCTCCTTGAGCATGATGCCTTAAGAGGCCTCCCTGCCTCTGGTCCCTCCAGCTCCAATCAGCTTTCCCCAATGTCACCCACATCGTATTTCTAAAATAATGGTTATCTTCATATGCTGAGGTGATGGCCAGTATGCCTGTCAAGTCCAATCCAAATAGAGACATTTTTTAGACATCCTATGTATTCTGTGTTATTAAAGGAGATTTAAATTTTGGAACAAAGTAGATCATTGGTGTAAATTCATTGACTTTCATGACGATGATACAGTATTGTCACTACAATTATATAGTATTGAATATTGACAAACATTAACACAATCTGCATTTACATGCCAGTAAATGTTGCAAGAAATAAGCAGTTTATCACGTAAATACTGATTATCAAGCTATTTTATTTAAATCTGATCTATTTTCAGTAAATGAAATGTCAAGAGATGGAAATACCTAAAATAATCAATTAATTAAAGTCATATATAAGAAAAAAAGATATTTGATGATTAATGTAAAAATTGCACAGCAGGGGGAGGGGTAAAATTTTTTTTTAAATAACATGGCACCTATGAGTTAAGTAACATATGGTGAGAGCAAGCAGCTCTTCTATTCAGTCATGCCAATCTTGAAATACCTCACCAGCTCTCACAGCTCTGGCAGAACATAACCAAATTGCGAAATATGCCACAACAGCAATTTGTTACAAAATCCAAAGAGTAAAGTCAATCATTAAATGTTAATAGAATCTGGTGACACAGAAAACAGGCAGTAACTCCTTATGTGACAGAAATAATTCTGATATTCTCAGGCACTTTTATAAAAATGTGTATCAAGGGAATGTATATGGTAGTTCTAATCGTGGTTACTCATTCACTAGTCATTAAGTAAATAAGTTCCCTCACCCCAGATGGTAGCAGTACTGTTATAGTGCTAAACTGAACACACCTCAAGTCAATAAATTACAAATTGTGATACTGTTGGTAATAGAGCAAGAAAATGAAGGAAGAAAAGGAAGATGTGGGAGAAGGAATTTAAGCAACTGAAATAAAGAGAAATTCGGAAGAAGAAGAGGCAAGAACAATCCCTGGACCGACCAAAGCCCGCCAGCCCCTGCATCCTGCGCCCATCACCTGTGTCCCACTGCCACCATCCTCAAGAGAAAGGCTCAAGGGGATGCTAAAGGAGATAAAGCCAAGGTGAAGGACAAATCACAGAGAAGATCCGCGAGGTTGTCTGCTAAACCTGCTCCTCCAAAGCCAGAGCCCAAGCCAAAAAAGGCCCCTGTAAAGAAGGGAGAGAAGGTACCCAAAGGGAAAAAGGGAAAAGCTGACGCTGGCGAGGAAGGGAATAACCCTGCAGAAAATGGAGATGCCCAAACAGACCGGGCACAGAAAGCCGAAGGTGCTGCAGATGCCAAGTGAAGTGTGTGCAGTTTTGATAACTGTGTACTTCTGGTGACTGTACAGTTTGAAATACTATCTTTTATCAAATTTTATAAAAATGCAGAATTTCATTTTACTTTTTTTTTAAGCTATGTTGTTAGCACACAGCACACTTCATGGTGGTTTTTCGGGGAAGGGGAATATGCCATTAATAGAATGTCTCCGAAGCTGGATTGATGTGGGGAAAACACCTTTTCTTTCTAGTTTTGAGAGACTTCCTCCTAACTTTTACACACATGGCCACCTTGGCACAAACGTCTTGGGGTATGGAAAAACGAATTCTTTTTTATGTCCTCTTCTCACTTTCCATCTTTCAACATAGTCTTAACTCCCTTAAGTTCAGATATCTGTTGGGACCTGACCCCCAATCATTGGTTACCAGTGTGTCAGGCAATCTGGACTTCCCAGCGATGCCACTGAGATGGCACTTGTCAAAAGAGCAGTGGTTCCATTTCTAGATTGTGGAGCTTCAGATAAATTCTGTCATTTTCATTTCACTTCCTGAAAGTCAGGGCCGACTTGTGAAAAGTTGTTAAACAATATACTAAATGTGAAATGTCAACCCCCACTCTAAACTTTCCCTGTCCAGAGCATCAGATGAGGACTTCATTGGGTTTTATAGTGGCTTTCTGATTTTTGGTAGTCCATCGAAGAAGGGATTTTGAAAATTGTTGTATACTGTTAACAATTGTCTGCCCACATCCTGCCTGAAATACCATGATTGTTTATGGAAAATATATTTAATCAGGCTGGATACAGTTTGACTTGGAAAAGAAAAGAAATAAAGAGAATTTTTAGATTGAAGGAGCATGCTAGGTTCCAGAATAATTTGATACAAAATGCTCAACACCAAGACAGCTTGGTTAAATTAATACATTTCAAGAATAAAAAATATCTTTAGGCATCAAGGCAGAAAAAGCAAGTCAGTTTAGGCCCAGAGCTGTCCTAATGAACATTTGATGATGGAAGACAATGCAGCAGTATCTACAAAATTTTGAAAGAGGGTGTGACCTAAGAATATTATACCCAGCCAAGATATCATTCATCAGAATAACCCAAAGACATTCTCAACACCAAGAGACTCAAGGAATTCAGAACACAGAAGTCCTTGGGGAAAAAAACTGCTTATCACATCTATCCAATTAAGAGTTCAGTCAAAATAAAAAACTTGGGAAAAGTGATGTTCAAGTAAAAAGACCAATGCTGAGCCTTATAGTCCTATTGACATGGAACCAAAACTAGAAGGATGGAAGTCAACCATCTTGATCTTTCTTTGCAGAGACTCAGTTACTACCATGTAAAATAGAAGCATTTTATTAAAAACAAACAATATGAAGCTGGGCACAGTGGCTCCTGCCTGTAATCCCAGGACTTTGGGAAGCCAAGGTGGGTGGATCACCTGAATTCAAGAGTTCAAGACCAGCCTGGCCAAGATGGTGAAACCCTGTCTCTACTAAAAATACAAAAAATTAGCTGGGCATGGTGGCAGGCACCTGTAATTCCAGCTACTTGGGAGGCTAAGGCAGAGAATTGCTTGAATATAGGAGGCAGAAGTTGCAGTGAGCCGAGATCATGCCACTGCACTCCAGCCTGGGCAACAGAGCAAGACTCTGTCTCAAAAAGAAAAAGAAAAAAAAATTATCTGGGTTTATTGGCTTGTGCCTGTAATTCCAGCTACTTGGGAGGCTGAGGCAGGAGAATCACTTGAACCTGGGAGGCAGAGATTGCCCTGAGCTGAGATTATACCACTGCACTCCAACCTGGGCAATAGGGTGACTCTGTTTGAAAAACAAAAACAAAAACAAAAACAAAAAAACTATATGACTCCAACCTCTTAATGTCTTGTGTTTTGTTTTTTTTTTTTCTTAGTCTTAGACGGATCTTTAGGAAAATATTTTAAGATGAAGACCTATTTCTTTGAAGTTTAGCAAGTCTAATTTTATGTTAGTTTCTTTTTCTTCTGTAAAGGTCAGGAAAAATTAAGTTCAACATTGCTTACATTGCATGCTTACTTAAGATACACTCTAAATTCTAAAGAAACGGCTTTCAGAATTCGTTTTGCAACTCAGTGCAGTTGTTAGCTGTGGGTTACCTGAAGGTAGAGTAGGAAAGGGGTACCCATTCTGCGATCAGGAAACTCTGCAACCTGTTCTGGCCCTGGCTCGGACAAGCTCTCCCTTTTGGGAAGCTCATGTTAACTCTCTGGCCTCTTGCCTTGTTTGTACAAAGGGAACCGTTCTCTCTTCCTCAATAATCTTACAGGAGGGTGTGAGAATTATGAGACTAGCACGGGAAAAACATCTCAAATGGCAGGATAGCACTCTACTTTGTTAACAGGAAAGGTTAAATGCAGCCCTAACCTGGTTGGAAAGAGATGACTTGCTACTGAAAAGAGGTTACCCAGCTACCAAGGGGTCAGGGTGTTTCACTGGAGGCTGGCTTCAAACCTGTCCCCTGCACTTCAGTGTCTGTTCCACTGCCTTCCATACACCTGGAGTATTTTTTTCTTCTTTGCTTGCCTTTACGGTGGCTACTGGACGTTTTTTCTAAGACATATTAAAGGAACATTCTTCTTCCTTCTTATACCAATACGAAACTGGACTTTGCCCTTAGGTAGCCACACATTCATGTTCTTAGTCCATGAGCTTTGGGGAGTATATGACTCAGGCCTGAGCTAATCTGAGCACCCGCTAGCCTGAGCCACCCTTGCATTGAGAGGAACCTGACCCAATCCAAGACACACTGAGATTTGGCTTGGAATGCTGGGAGAGATTCATACTCCCTCCTTAATATGGGGCTGAGGGTGTAGCTTCTGGAGCTGTTGCAATCATCTGGCACCCATGAGGAATAAACCCTTCTGTGAATGGACCGGTCTTGGAAGAAAGCCAGGTCACAAGAAATACAGAGAAAGTGCCTCCTGGTGACACAATCTGAATATCTAATTGGTTAGGTCAGAGGCCAGTTTCACCCCTAATAAGCCATCAATCCAGCTTTTGCCTAAGCCACTTAACTAAAAAAGTGTCACTAATTGATAGTTTGTTTTAGAAGCAACTTATAGAGACAAATAAACCTCTTCAAGGTATAGCTCAAACGCTGACTAAAATATCAGGGTTTCCCTGATCCTCTTACCTAAAACACAAGTTTTCCCTTCTTAAAACGGCCACAGCTCGTTATCTGAATGTGTCTTCTGGGACCTCTGGGTTCTTGTGATAGAGTACAAGGTTGCACACACATGCAACTTATCCATAAACGGAAACTCTCCACACATCCAAGCCTCAAAGGCAGGCATTCTTTTTCATCTGGCAATAGCTATGATAATACCAGGCACAAAATAAATGCTCAATAAGTGATTGTTCAATGGCTGTCTGGCTGTTGCTCTATTAATAGTTGGTTTAATTTTATCAGTTAGCTTGTTAATTTCTTTTTTTATGAGACAGGGTCTTGCTCTATTGCCCAGGCTGGAGTGCAATGGCATGATCATGGCTCACTGCAGCCTCAACTTCTCAGGCTCAGGCAATTTTCCCACCTTAGTCCCCCTAGTAGCTGGGACTACAGGTGTGCACCACTATGCCAAAAGCTTGTTACTTTCAAGTCTTGTTAAAAATTATTCTAAAGACTGGGCACAGTGGCTCACACCTGTAATTCCAGCACTTTGGGAGACCCAGGCAAGTGGACCTCCTGAGCTCAGGAGTTTGAGACCAGCCTAGGCAACATAGTGAAACCCCATCTCTACAAAAAAAAAAAAGCTGGACATGGTGGTGCATGTCTGTAGTCTCAGCTGTTATATTTGGGTGGCTGAGATGGGAGGATCACTTGGGCCTGGGAGATCAAGGCTTCAGTAAGCTGTGATCACACGACTGCACTCCAGCCTGGGTGACAGAGTGAGCCCCTGTCCCAAAAAAACAAAACTAAAAAACCCCAAATTGTCGAAAAGGTTCCTGACCTCCATTGCTGAACAGCAAAGGCCACTCCCACAGCTGCAGGAAGAAGAGGAGACGCCTTCAGGAGAAGTGAGACGGGAGTCCTAGGCCTAATCCTGATCTTGGCTGGGGCTGCTTTAAATTCCTGGCTTCTTGCTGGGCCCGTGGTGGCTCAAGCCTGTAATCCCAGCACTTTGAGAAGCTGAGGTGGGTGAAGCCCAGGATTTCAAGAGCAGCGTGGGCAACAAGACAAAAACTGGTCTCTACAAACTAGGAAGGCTAAGGTGGGAGGATCGCTTGAACCCGGGAGGCTGAGTCTGCAGTGAGCCATGACTGTGCCACTGCACTCCAGCCTGGGTGACAGAGCCCGACACTGTCTCAAAAACAAATAAATAAATAAATTCCTCGCTTCTTTCTCCAAAATATCAAAAGAGACCAGGAGGAAAATCCCTTTTATCCACATACTATTGTACAAATCTACCTTCGAGGTAAGTTCATAGAAAAACTTGGAAATGGGTCATTTATTGTCCACATCTTTCATCACGTTGCCCAACTCCTGGCAGCAGCCTTTCTTCTGCCCATGTGGTGCTGCTTGCAGGCCAGGAAGCAATCCAAATAACATCATGAATCCCTAATAAAATGCAATTTACCACTGACGTCACAGAGGGCACCAAGAGAGCACCAAGCAGGGCTAGAAGCCGATCTTTCTAGCTTCTGGTCTTGGGAACTCTTTCCCTAGCAGTACGATCTCATCACACCTCTTCAACTTCATTAATAGGTCTTTTGCTTCCTCCATTGAATGACAATTCGAGCTCTTTCTGGCTGGAGGCTTTGATGGCCCTGGATTAAACCCTCCACTCCATCCAGCAAACTTTAGGATCTGACACCCAGACACAGGTCCGCCTGCAGCCCTAGACCCACACCAAGCTTGGGTGGAAGCGCTCCCAAGAACATCAGTCAGGAAAGTACCGGCAGTGTGAGACTGCAGCCGTCTCTGTACCCCTCCCTCTCTGCATTCTTGTGGGCCTCACCCCCACCTGGACCCAGGCCTTAGTCTAC